TGGTCTCTCTCTTCTCTCTCTCTCTGGTCTCTCTCTGGTCTCTCTCTCTCTGGTCTCTCTCTGGTCTCTCTCTGGTCTCTCTCTCTGGTCTCTCTCTCTGGTCTCTCTCTGGTCTCTCTCTGGTCCCTCTCTGGTCTCTCTCTGGTCTCCCTCTGGTCTCTCTCTGGTCTCTCTCTCTGGTCTCTCTCTGGTCTCTCTCTCTGGTCTCTCTCTCTGGTCTCTCTCTCTGGTCTCTCTCTGGTCTCCCTCTGGTCTCGCTCCAGTCTCTCTCTGGTCTCTCTCTGGTCTCTCTCTCTGGTCTCTCTCTCTGGTCTCTCTCTCTGGTCTCTCTCTGGTCTCCCTCTGGTCTCGCTCCAGTCTCTCTCTGGTCTCTCTCTGGTCTCTCTCTCTGTGGTCTCTCTCTGGTCTCTCTCTGGTCTCTCTCTCTTTTTTTTCTCTCTCTCTCTGGTCTCTCTCTGGTCTCTCTCTGGTATCTCTCTCTGGTCTCTCTCTGGTCTCTCTCTGGTCTCTCTCTGGTCTCTCTCTCTCTTTTCTCTCTCTCTCTGGTCTCTCTCTCTCTGGTCTCTCTCTGGTCTCTCTCTGGTCTCTCTCTCTGGTCTCTCTCTGGTCTCTCTCTGGTCTCTCTCTGGTCTCTCTCTGGTCCCTCTCTGGTCTCTCTCTGGTCTCCCTCTGGTCTCTCTCTGGTCTCTCTCTCTGGTCTCTCTCTGGTCTCTCTCTCTGGTCTCTCTCTCTGGTCTCTCTCTCTCTGGTCTCTCTCTGGTCTCCCTCTGGTCTCGCTCCAGTCTCTCTCTGGTCTCTCTCTGGTCTCTCTCTCTGGTCTCTCTCTCTGGTCTCTCTCTCTGGTCTCTCTCTCTGGTCTCTCTCTGGTCTCCCTCTGGTCTCGCTCCAGTCTCTCTCTGGTCTCTCTCTGGTCTCTCTCTCTCTGGTCTCTCTCTGGTCTCTCTCTGGTCTCTCTCTCTCTGGTCTCTCTCTCTGGTCTCTCTCTCTGGTCTCTCTCTGGTCTCCCTCTGGTCTCTCTCTGGTCTCTCTCTCTGGTCTCTCTCTGGTCTCTCTCTCTGGTCTCTCTCTCTGGTCTCTCTCTCTGGTCTCTCTCTGGTCTCCCTCTGGTCTCGCTCCAGTCTCTCTCTGGTCTCTCTCTGGTCTCTCTCTCTGGTCTCTCTCTCTGGTCTCTCTCTGGTCTCTCTCTGGTCTCCCTCTGGTCTCGCTCCAGTCTCTCTCTGGTCTCTCTCTGGTCTTTCTCTGGTCTCTCTCTCTCTGGTCTCTCTCTGGTCTCTCTCTGGTCTCTCTCTCTCTCTGGTCTCCCACTGGTTCTCTCTGGTCTCTCTCTCTGGTCTCTCTCTGGTCTCTCTCTGGTCTCTCTCCGTCTCTCTCTGGTCTCTCTCTGGTCTCTCTCTGGTCTCTCTCTCTGGTCTCTCTCTGGTCTCTCTCTGGTCTCTCTCTGGTCTCTCTCTCTGGTCTCTCTCTGGTCTCTCTCTCTGGTCTCTCTCTGGTCTCTCTCTGGTCTCTCTCTGGTCTCTCTCTGGTCTCTCTCTGTCTCTCTCTGGTCTCTCTCTGGTCTCTCTCTCTCTGGTCTCTCTCTGGTCTCTCTCTCTGGTCTCTCTCTGGTCTCTCTCTGGTCTCTCTCTGGTCTCTCTCTGGTCTCTCTCTGGTCTCTCTCTGGTCTCTCTCTGGTCTCTCTCTGGTCTCTCTCTGGTCTCTCTCTGGTCTCTCTCTGGTCTCTCTCTGGTCTCTCTCTGGTCTCTCTCTGGTCTCTCTCTGGTCTCTCTCTCTGGTCTCTCTCTGGTCTCCCTCTGGTCTCTCTCTGGTCTCCCTCTGGTCTCGCTCCAGTCTCTCTCCTGCAGGTTATTTCCGTGTGATAACGAGGGACCACGGTCTTCCACAGTTCTGGGTTAATCACAGACTTTCTTCTGGAGGCCGTGTGAGTTTGATGATGGTCAGGTTTAGGTTTCATGAGAGAAACCTCTTGTTAGTTTCTCTCATGAGGGAGAGAGAGCAGAGGAGGCGGAGGACAAACCTTCAGATACTAAACAGGTTCCCAGGCACCGTCCATATCACAGGGACACGGGACACAGGTACAGATGAGAACAACAGTTAACACTTTCTGGACTCTTTCTTTCTCCTGAACTCAAAATGTTTTAGTCATAAACAAACCTGCATTTTTATTCATATATTCTAACATGTATACATTTTCCTTTTTATCTAGTTTTATTGATCATGAATTTATGTCTTCTTTCTGTTCTAGGCGTATAAAGTTATTTTAATAAGACAAAGATTGTAAAGCAGATAGTACTTCTTATTGACCCCACATGCGTTGGTAGAACACATGTGGATCTATAACTGTCAAAGCAATTATACAATATTCAGCCGTCCAAGTACTTCCACTGTGTATTTAAACGTTATTACTGGTCTGTTTAGTCTCAGTTATGGTTAATTATGGTTAGTGAGATGTGACCACAGTTAGGAGCCTTTCTATTTGTTCTCCTGTATAAAAGGAAAACAATAATAATGCATGTGGCAGAGCAGAGTCTCCGCCTGATCCTTGGAGTCTGAATATTTACCAAAACATATGAACAAAGAAAAAAAGCCACTTTAGTTCCCCAGACTAGTCCAGGGTCTGACGTCACAGACTGAAAAACTGTCTTTACTGACATCGGGCTGTTCCGAGCTTTAAAATGATCTATAACGGAGCTGTAGTTGGCTGAATGACACATGTTTACCGTCTTACAAGTCAACGACTGATCTCCACACGTTCTAGGCTTTAGAACGAGGTACGACATGTCTATATTGGCTGAGCTGAAGTTGGATGGATGACACAGTGAACTTGTGTTTATGATCTCAAAGACTACTGTAGGTTAGCGAGGCAGAGGGTCATGTACACTGATCTCTGGGCTCTCTCTGGTCTCTCTCTGGTCTCTCTCTGGTCTCTCTCTGGTCTCTCTCTGGTCTCTCTCTGGTCTCTCTCTGGTCTCTCTCTCTGGACTCTCTCTGGTCTCTCTCTGGTCTCTCTCTGGTCTCTCTCTGGTCTCTCTCTGGTCTCTCTCTGGACTCTCTCTGGTCTCTCTCTGGTCTCTCTCTGGTCTCTCTCTGGTCTCTCTCTCTGGACTCTCTCTGGTCTCTCTCTGGTCTCTCTCTGGTCTCTCTCTGGTCTCTCTCTCTGGTCTCTCTCTGGTCTCTCTCTGGTCTCTCTCTGGTCTCTCTCTGGTCTCTCTCTGGTCTCTCTCTGGTCTCTCTCTGGTCTCTCTCTCTGGACTCTCTCTGGTCTCTCTCTCTGGTCTCTCTCTGGTCTCTCTGGTCTCTCTCTGGTCTCTCTCTGGTCTCTCTCTGGTCTCTCTCTCTGGTCTCTCTCTGGACTCTCTCTGGTCTCTCTCTGGTCTCTCTCTGGTCTCTCTCTGGTCTCTCTCTGTGGTCTCTGTGGTCTCTCTCTGGTCTCTCTCTGGTCTCTCTCTGGTCTCTCTCTGGTCTCTCTCTGGTCTCTCTCTGGTCTCTCTCTGGTCTCTCTCTCTGGTCTCTCTCTGGTCTCTCTCTGGTCTCTCTCTGGTCTCTCTCTGGTCTCTCTCTCTGGTCTCTCTCTCTGGTCTCTCTCTCTGGTCTCTCTCTCTGGTCTCTCTCTCTGGTCTCTCTCTGGTCTCTCTCTGGTCTCTCTCTGGTCTCTCTCTGGTCTCTCTCTGGTCTCGCTCTGGTCTCTCTCTGGTCTCTCTCTGGTCTCTCTCTGGTCTCTCTCTGGTCTAAATACCTTCTTCAGTTTCTTGGTCTTGGCCTCCACTTCCTGTTGTAACGAAGTGAATGTTTCTCTGAGCTCCAGCGTCTCCTCGTCCTGCACCAACATCTGCTGCTGCATCTCCCGCTCACTGCGACTCTGCAGACACACAAACACACACAATCACACACAATGACACACAATGCCACACAAACACACACACACACACACACTTCCCCACTGCCTTGTGATGTCACATGTTACCTGCTCTGCGATCTCCTGTCTCTTCATCTCCAACATCTTCTGCTGCTCGTTGGTGTGGTCCGTGATGTTTTTACCTCCAACCAGCAACTTGCTCTCCATCGCCTGAAACCAGCATCATCAGTACCCATGGTCTCTGTGGTCTCTATGGTCTCTGTGGTCTCTGTGGTCTCTGTGGTCTCTGTGGTCTCTCTGTGGTCTCTGTGGTCTCTCTGTGGTCTCTGTGGTCTCTGTGGTCTCTGTGGTCTCTGTGGTCTCTCTGTGGTCTCTGTGGTCTCTCTGTGGTCTCTCTGTGGTCTCTGTGGTCTCTGTGGTCTCTGTGGTCTCTGTGGTCTCTGTGGTCTCTGTGGTCTCTGTGGTCTCTGTGGTCTCTGTGGTCTCTGTGGTCTCTGTGGTCTCTCTGTGGTCTCTGTGGTCTCTATGGTCTCTGTGGTCTCTGTGGTCTCTGTGGTCTCTGTGGTCTCTCTGTGGTCTCTGTGGTCTCTCTGTGGTCTCTGTGGTCTCTCTGTGGTCTCTCTGTGGTCTCTCTGTGGTCTCTCTGTGGTCTCTCTGTGGTGTCTCTGTGGTCTCTGTGGTCTCTGTGGTCTCTCTGTGGTCTCTCTGTGGTCTCTCTGTGGTCTCTCTGTGGTCTCTCTGTGGTCTCTGTGGTCTCTGTGGTCTCTGTGGTCTCTCTGTGGTCTCTGTGGTCTCTGTGGTCTCTCTGTGGTCTCTGTGGTCTCTGTGGTCTCTCTGTGGTCTCTGTGGTCTCTGTGGTCTCTGTGGTCTCTATGGTATCTGTGGTCTCTGTGGTCTCTCTGTGGTCTCTGTGGTCTCTATGGTATCTGTGGTCTCTGTGGTCTCTGTGGTCTCTATGGTATCTGTGGTCTCTCTGTGGTCTCTCTGAGGTCTCTCTGTGGTCTCTCTGTGGTCTCTGTGTTCTCTGTGGGGTCTCTGGGGTCTCTGGGGTCTCTGTGGTCTCTGTGGTCTCTCTGAGGTCTCTCTGTGGTCTCTCTGTGGTCTCTGTGTTCTCTGTGGGGTCTCTGGGGTCTCTGGGGTCTCTGTGGTCTCTGTGGTCTCTCTGTGGTCTCTCTGTGGTCTCTCTGTGGTCTCTCTGTGGTCTCTGTGGTCTCTCTGTGGTCTCTATGGTCTCTATGGTCTCTCTGTGGTCTCTCTCTCTGTGGTCTCTCTGTGGTCTCTCTGTGGTCTCTCTGTGGTCTCTCTGTGGTCTCTCTGGTCTCTCTATGGTATCTGTGGTCTCTGTGGTCTCTGTGGTCTCTGTGGTCTCTCTGTGGTCTCTCTGTGGTCTCTCTGTGGTCTCTCTGTGGTCTCTATGGTATCTGTGGTCTCTGTGGTCTCTCTGTGGTCTCTGTGGTCTCTGTGGTCTCTGAGGCGGTTTATAATCCAGAAAGTCCAGTGTTTTCTGTAAACATCTAATGACAGTAGTATAGAAATGTGATCCAACAAAATCCACATTTGATAAAGATTTGTTCAGAGGGAAAACAAGGTCCTGAGGTCATGTGACGTCTGAGATCATGTGACGTCTGAGGTCATGTGACGTCTGAGATCATGTGACGTCTGAGGTCATGTGACGTCTGAGGTCATGTGACGTCTGAGGTCATGTGACGTCTGAGATCATGTGACGTCTGAGGTCATGTGACGTCTGAGGTCATGTGACGTCTGAGGTCATGTGACGTCTGAGGTCATGTGACGTCTGAGGTCATGTGACGTCTGAGGTCATGTGACGTCTGAGGTCATGTGACGTCTGAGGTCATGTGACGTCTGAGGTCATGTGACGTCTGAGATCATGTGACGTCTGAGGTCATGTGACGTCTGAGATCATGTGACGTCTGAGGTCATGTGACGTCTGAGGTCATGTGACGTCTGAGGTCATGTGACGTACGGAGCCTCCTGCACACTGTGGTCAGACCCACATTATTATAACATTCCTGTAGCATGGAGCTATACGTCCAGAGCTGCTAATTGTGCGTGTACAGAGCGGTCCTTCACACAGACACAGAGGATCTTTGTGCGTCTCTTTGTGCGTCTCTTTGTGCGTCTCTTATGTCACATCTTTTCAGCGTCTTTATAAAAAGGCCTCATTCATAACGACGGGTTTCTCTTTGTTCTGGGTCCAGGGAACAGCAACAGGACAGACAATACTGAGAGGTTTATGATACTGTAGGTTAGAAGGAAGTCAGGCTGAAATCACTGACTGCACATGTGCCCCAGGGTAAGTAAGTAAGTAAGTTTTTATTTATATACCGCCTTTTCACTGCAGATCTGAGTCTCAAAGCGGTTTACAATTGTTAATTTTGGGCATTTGTCTCTCACTCCACACAGAGATGGGAGCGGGGCCAGTACAGGAGGCACATGCCAGAACTATTGGACATGTTTTTAGTGGTAGGGGAAACCGGAGTACCCGGAGGAAACCTACGCAGACACGGGGAGAACATGCAAACTCCACTCAGAAAGGCCCTGGGTAAGTTTATCTGTATAGCACAGTTCATACACAACTCCACACACTACAAGTTATAAACCTGTATTAAAGCTGGAGTACCTGACTTTGACCACAAATTAACAACATGTAATAAAATCCATGTTGTTCCGAGCTTTGGTTCTAGCGCTAGCTTCACATGTTCAGTATGTATCGTCCTGGGTTCTCTGTCAGGTTCTCTATCAGGTTCTCGGTCAGGTTCTCTGTCAGGTTCTCGGTCAGGTTCTCTGTCAGGTTCTCTGTCAGGTTCTCTGTCAGGTTCTCTGTCAGGTTCTCGGTCAGGTTCTCTGTCAGGTTCTCGGTCAGGTTCTCGGTCAGGTTCTCTATCAGGTTCTCGGTCAGGTTCTCTGTCAGGTTCTCGGTCAGGTTCTCTGTCAGGTTCTCGGTCAGGTTCTCGGTCAGGTTCTCTGTCAGGTTCTCTGTCAGGTTCTCGGTCAGGTTCTCTGTCAGGTTCTCGGTCAGGTTCTCGGTCAGGTTCTCTATCAGGTTCTCGGTCAGGTTCTCTGTCAGGTTCTCGGTCAGGTTCTCTGTCAGGTTCTCGGTCAGGTTCTCTGTCAGGTTCTCGGTCGGTTCTCGGTCAGGTTCTCTATCAGGTTCTCGGTCAGGTTCTCTGTCAGGTTCTCGGTCAGGTTCTCTGTCAGGTTCTCGGTCAGGTTCTCGGTCAGGTTCTCTGTCAGGTTCTCTGTCAGGTTCTCGGTCAGGTTCTCTGTCAGGTTCTCGGTCAGGTTCTCGGTCAGGTTCTCTATCAGGTTCTCGGTCAGGTTCTCGTTTCTCGTCAGGTTCTCTTCAGGTTCTCGGTCAGGTTCTCTGTCAGGTTCTCGGTCAGGTTCTCTGTCAGGTTCTCGGTCAGGTTCTCGGTCAGGTTCTCTGTCAGGTTCTTGGTCAGGTTCTCGGTCAGGTTCTCGGTCAGGTTCTCTGTCAGGTTCTCTGTTTTAGTTTACATTGAGTTCTTTTTTTTTTTTTTTTTTTTTTTGAAAGGGAAAGAACGCTGAGGCGGCCCTTTTCCACCAGACGCTACACGACAATTCAGCAACATCGAGGAACAGGAGCAGTCTCACATCATGGGCCTGACCACTGAGTTATCAATATATCAGTATCAACAGTATATTTATATATATTTATTATGTTTAAAAAAGTTAGATTTGTGAGATTCACTTTCTAACTGTTTGAATACAGGAAATGTAATAATATCAAACACATAGAAGCCATTGGTCCAAAAACAGTGGAAAACCTCAGGCTGTAGACCCAGGACTGAGGCTGTAGACCCAGGACTGAGGCTGTAGACCCAGGACTGAGGCTGTAGACCCAGGACTGAGGCTGTAGACCCAGGACTGAGGCTGTAGACCCAGGACTGAGGCTGCAGACCCAGGACTGAGGCTGTAGACCCAGGACTGAGGCTGTAGACCCAGGACTGAGGCTGTAGACCCAGGACTGAGGCTGTAGACCCAGGACTGAGGCTGTAGATCCAGGACTGAGGCTGTAGACCCAGGACTGAGGCTGTAGACCCAGGACTGAGGCTGTAGACCCAGGACTGAGGCTGCAGACCCAGGACTGAGGCTGTAGACCCAGGACTGAGGCTGTAGACCCAGGACTGAGGCTGTAGACCCAGGACTGAGGCTGTAGATCCAGGACTGAGGCTGTAGATCCAGGACTGAGGCTGTAGACCCAGGACTGAGGCTGTAGACCCAGGACTGAGGCTGTAGACCCAGGACTGAGGCTGCAGACCCAGGACTGAGGCTGTAGACCCAGGACTGAGAAAAGTGCATAGTAAACTAAGCTTCTATAATTACACACAAAGAGCCACTTCCTTTCGGCGACTGCTTTTGTTGTCAGAGGAATGACGTGCTTCATCCGTGGTTATGACCCTTCAGCCGTGTTCAGCTCCAGTCCCAGTCCAAGTGGGAGGCGCTGTGGTCTTTCTGCACCACTGACTTATCGAGTGGGCCGTGACCCAGAGCGACAGTGATAAACCCAGGCCTGACTCTGGCCGTGGTCGTGATGGAGGGAGAGGACTTTCAGACTCCGGCTTCTCTACAGCACGACATCAAAGAATGTTTTACTGTTTTACTGTTTCAACTCTGCTTTAATCACAGAATGACTCAAAATGATGTTTTAAATGTCATTCTATTTTTGACACTGTAAACCTCTGTAAACCTTTGTCCGGTCTGAACAATTCATTTATTGCATAATGTCCTGTCAAAGTTAAAGTAAGTAACTGTTTTTAGTGTAGGGGAAATCGGAGCACCTGGAGGAAACCTACACAGACACAGGGAGAACATGCAAACTCCCCAGGGAAAGGGCTGGAAGTGGAATCGAACCCAGGACCATAGCGCCACCCTCAGTTTCTTTATGCAGACCTGGGTTTCTCTCTGCAGTAAGATATTTATTTAGTTTTGCTGCTGTTGAATGAAAAACAGAAGCTTTGAGGTTTTAATCAGAGCAAAATGAAAACATCCTTTTGGAAATAAACTAAAGTGGGTCGGCCCGGGTTAAAAGGGCCGCACTAGGATCTCAGGTGGGAATCTGCAGCGTGAGGATATCGCTCATTTTGATTCAGAAAAGAGAGAAAACATCTAATTACTGAAAATAAACAGTATTGGTTTTTACTGATTTAAATAAAGTCATTAAAAATACTGGATTTCACCAAAGAAACTGGCAACGGACCGAGACTCCTGCTTCGGGAATTCTACCTTCTGATTGGACAAGCAGCTCGAGAGTGGTGCAGGGGGTGGTGCAGGTGATGGTGCAGGTGATGGTGCAGGGGGTGGTGCAGGGGGTGGTGCAGGGGGTGGTGCAGGCGGTGGTGCAGGGGTGGTGCAGGGGGTGGTGCAGGGGGTGGTGCAGGGGTGGTGCAGGGGTGGTGCAGGGGGTGGTGTAGAGCGGGCTCAGATCTCACCTTGTATTTGGCTGTGAGCTGCTCCGTGGCCTCCTGCTCCTTCCTCAGGTCTCCCATCATCTTCTCCTTCTCTCCCAGCAGCCTTTGCTTCTCCTCCGCCAGTAGAAATCGATCTCCTCTGATGGCCTCCTTCTCCAGCTCCAGCCTCTGCTCCTCCATCGTCACATAATCCTCTCCCTCTTTCTCCTCATAGTTCTCCTCTTCGTCCTCCTCCCCAGGCCTCTCCCAGTCGTCTCCGTCTTTCTTCTGCTGGTTCCTCCACTTCCTGTGGTTGAGCTGCTCCCGTAGTCTGGCGATCTCCTGCTGGAACTCCCTCAGAAGGGCGTCTTTGGGGTCTTCGTTGACTCGAGGTTGGTTGTGGATGTTCTTGGCCCGATTTGCGTACCTTAAAGTTGTCAGGGTTTCGTCGTAGTGTTGCGGAGCTGGGCCTAGAGTGGCGACCATGACGGTTTTGGCATTCCCACCTAAAGAGTCCTGTAGAAGTCTTGTTAGTTTGGAATCCCTGTATGGTACATGTCCACTTCGACCGTCGGCCAAGGCTGAGATTACATTCCCGAGAGCGGATAACGATAAGTTGATTTTAGCTGCTTCCTTCAGACGCTCGCCTTGCACTCCGGTCTTGGCTTGGCGTTCGCTTCCAGCCAGGTCCACCAGATTTAAACGTCCCACTCGAATGTGCTTCCTCCCATCTGGACCTGGCTGGCTGCACTCCACCGTGATTAAAAACAAAGCGTGGGATCTGGAAGAGTGCTCATTCATGTCCGTCGCCCCCACGGCCCGGGCCTGGTTCCCCATGTTCATAGCTTCTTCGATTTCTTTGATACTTTTGCAAACACAAGACGTAAGATCTTGGACATAGACCCCGGTCTCAGGGCTTTCCCTCAGGTCCAGTCGTGTGCTTGCGTGGTTTGGGTCGAGAAGGTCCCGGATCTCCTCCAGGTAGATCTCCAGGTAGGACGCCCGGACGAGATACTGCCTGTCTGACTGAGAGCGTGAGATGTGAGTGAAGATGTGGTCGAAAGCATTTGGGATGACACCTCGTTTTTCAGGGTCCAACCAAGCCCCCTGCATGGTATAAGTCTTCCCAGTCCCAGTTTGTCCATAGGCGAAGATAGTACCGTTAAACCCGTCCAGGACAGAATCTATCAAAGGCCTTACACTCTCATCGTACAGGTCTCGCTGTTTGGAGTTGGCGTCGTAAACAGCATCAAACGTGAATGTCTTTAGGGGTTCGCTAGGGGGCGCTCGCGGGTTTCTGAGGATGACCTGCCCCAACTTCAAATCCATTTGGACGATTCCACCTGCAGGCCCGTGGCTCTCCTCTCTACGGTTCAAGGGCCGGCATCGCACCACCACCTTCACACACTCACTGCTCTTGTTTTTGGACATGATTGGATTGTGCCTCCCCGAGATATTCACGGATGATCACAATGAAAGACTGGATCCCACAGGCTCGAAGCAGCCTGTGTATTGTAGGAATTGATTTTTTTGTTTTGTTAAATCAAAATGCGATTCTAAAATCACATTTGCTGTGCCATGGCGCTGGGAAATATGCCATCCGCCTCAAAACATCGTAAAATGGAGGAAAAGGAACATACTCCAATCACCAGCAGCTAATTATGTGTAATATTAGCTTCATAGACAGCGGCTGTAGCGGATGCCTCTCGCTCCGGTGGCCCCTGAGGTCCGGTTGTATAAAGAGGATTCTTGAGGATGACAGCGGTGAGGATGAAGAGGAAGCATCATCCGGAGGAGACAGGTCCCTGGGATCCACGGCTCGGCCTTGTCCGCATCTTCCTGGCGTCTGTCTCGGCTTCTCCAGGCTCCGGTGCGGGCTTCGCTCCAGTCACACACACACCACACCCCACATCACTGCGGAGGCCCCCAGAGCATCATGGGAAATGTAGTCTCCTCAATACAGACTAATGAAAAGCATATTATTGAGTGTGTGATTAAAATAGTTTGATAGTTTCTTTCTTGTCATACGAGTTGACGCTATTATTACTATTGTTGCTACTTTTAGAACGGTCTATCTAATTATTTTTGTGTTTGTTATATACAGTCTATGGTTTGTTTGGATGTGTTTCTGCTGCTCAATCAATAAAGTATCTATTTATCTATCTATCTCTCTACATATAGATCGAGGTCTGGACAGATATTATGGCCAACTATATAAAGTGTGTAATATAAGTGTGTGTCTAATTTAGGTGTGAAATTTAAATGGGCATTAACTAACTGAGCTTCTACATATATTAGCAACAAAAACGTTTACATTTATATTGAAAACAATATGTAATCTAAAATTGAAAAATAAATCTCTCCGCTCATGGACCGCAGTGTGGCTCAGCAGCACCACCGTGTGGCGGAAACACAGTATTATAGGTTAGACAACATCCATCAATAAGTTTTAGGGAGTAACTAAATGCATTTGCTGAGAATACGTGGAATGATCAAAGGAATACATGTGCTATTTGAACTTACAATTTATATTTTAAAGTAGACAACATTAAATACCAATAATATTAATGATAATAACAAGATATAAGACAACCTAAGTGTAAATACGCAGTCAGAATGAGATCTCATACATTTACAAAGTCTCTCTCCAGCAGCAGACTTTTTATTATTATTATTATTATAACAATAAAGAGATCCAGCCCACAGTGGGGAAATGTCAGTGTTGCATCACCATGTTACAGAACAGTACGACTGAGGAGCACACAGTACAAGATAAATGAACAATAAGACAAGGCAAGTTTATTTGTATAGCACAGTTCATACACATGACTCAAAGTGCAGAACAAAACAAGATAATTAAGTTTATTATTAATAAGATAATAAACAATACAAGGCATTAAAATAAATAAGGAGGTTCATAAATGAAATGCCTGTGTTTTAAAGGAGTTGATGACCTCACACAGAGCGGCCAGAGAAACAATTAAATACACATTTGATCACATATAAACTATCTGTCCTGGCGCCGTGGGAAAACCCTGGTGGTCTGGACCAATGTGTTTTTAGTGCCTTTAATCTGTCAGAACCTGACAAAAGGAAGAAGATTTGGGGATCACATCAATCGTAAAAATTTGTCCGACTAGATCCAGGAAGTACGATCACATTAGTCCAGTTCTCAGGTCTCTGCGTTGGCCCCCAGGCTTCCAAAGTACATCTTTAACTTTATACAACACAGACTCTGAGGAGCACAGGGACTGGCCTCCTGCTGGGACTCTGAGGAGCACAGGGACTGGCCTCCTGCTGGGACTCTGAGGAGCACAGGGACTGGCCTCCTGCTGGGACTCTGAGGAGCACAGGGACTGGCCTCCTGCTGGGACTCTGAGGAGCACAGGGACTGGCCTCCTGCTGGGACTCTGAGGAGCACAGGGACCGGCCTCCTGCTGGGACTCTGAGGAGCACAGGGACTGGCCTCCTGCTGGGACTCTGAGGAGCACAGGGACTGGCCTCCTGCTGGGACTCTGAGGAGCACAGGGACTGGCCTCCTGCTGGGACTCTGAGGAGCACAGGGACTGGACTCCTGCTGGGACTCTGAGGAGCACAGGGACTGGCCTCCTGCTGGGACTCTGAGGAGCACAGGGACTGGCCTCCTGCTGGGACTCTGAGGAGCACAGGGACTGGCCTCCTGCTGGGACTCTGAGGGGCACAGGGACTGGACTCCTGCTGGGACTCTGAGGAGCACAGGGACTGGCCTCCTGCTGGGACTCTGAGGAGCACAGGGACTGGCCTCCTGCTGGGACTCTGAGGAGCACAGGGACTGGCCTCCTGCTGGGACTCTGAGGAGCACAGGGACTGGCCTCCTGCTATTTAACCCCTTTAACCCATTGTGTGATTCTAATCTTTCTTTTCTTGTGTTGTTCAGACCTTGCCTTGTGTATGAACTGTGCTATACAAATAAACTTACCTTGTATCATCTGTGTTTAAGAGAGACCCATTGAAGACCTAACAATAAAATCTCTGAGATGTGAACGTTCCCAACTATTTGTGTCTTTGTAAATATTAATTTATAATATTTGTTTTATTCTCTCCGATTATTAAGTATAAAGTAAATTATGGATGTGGAATTTTAGTTGATTTTAGTTAATTTTCTGTTCATGATTCACAAGTTCATTTCGCACCTATGTTATAGTATGTTTTTTCCCTTTCTTGAATTCTTAAATCGTGTCTGTACTTGGCAGAAGTTAGCAGGGCACGGCATACTCCACATTCCTGAGTCTGAGAATCGAGCTGAGGAGGAGCCCAACTCTAAGATGTCAAGTTTCTGTACCTTAATAATCAATAATCTTTTAGAGAAATTTGTTTTTTAGATGATTAAATAAGACATACATATATTTTAAAAAACAAAGTATGATAAATGCAATGGTGTGCAACGTATGTGATGAGAAGATATGAATTTGCACATTGACTAATTGTGTGCAGTTATACAAAGGGATAAAGTGGAATAAAGTGCTGAGCTGTACAGAGAGAAGTGGGGAAACGCCCGTCACGAGGCCAGAAGTACTTATATTTATGATGACATCACTTGGCCTGACTCACAGCTGGAACCGTCCCCACATCAAAGGCCAACTTTTCTACTAACATTTCTAAAACATCCCCGGCTTTCAGTGCTCCGTGTGACACTATCTGCCATGTTGGATAAAGTGACGCTAAAGAAGATTTGCGTCTCCATGTCTGCGTAACCTGCGCAGTAACATTTGCCCTTTCTGTCAATCTCGGGGCCTTTTTACCTCTGGATGCCTGCGAAGATAACCAATCACAAGAGAGCAGCTCGTGACATGACAGGTTTGTTGACCAATCACAAGCGTGTATTCTGACAGAGGGGGCGGGCGTGTGGGCGTGTCCTGCAGACTAGGGTGTCGCCGTGGTGGAAGGCCCCATTCGAAGGCGGCGGCGCTCGTCTCTGTGTTTTAGCGGTGCTTTCCTCAATAAACCAGAATAACTCGGGGCTGGCAGTGTTTTTCGGGACTTTCACGTTGATATTTGGTTCACATTCTCGCCGGAGGAGCTTGCCCTGGCCGCTCTGTGATGACGAGTGTGTGAAGAATGTGAATGAGGCAGTAGTTTGAAGAAAGGCTGAGAGCAGGAGCAGGAGCCATTTTGTCCTGAGCGGGAGCAAAGAGTGGAAAAGAAGATCCACGGACTCGGTTTTCAGTGTGTGTTTCTCCTGCGGTGGGGAACAGTCCGGGTCGGGAGCTCTAACTTATCGGACACACGCGTGGATGTCATTCTGGGTGTATTTAGCCAAACTAGCCAAACTAGCTAGCTCAAGCTAACCACCAGTACCATCCTGTGGAGCTGCTGCACAGACCGTGTTGGGTTCTGTTGGGTTCTGTTGGGTTCTGTGTGTATCTGTCTGTGTGGCTGTGTCCAATGGCGAAGAAGACGTACGACTTGTTGTTCAAGCTGCTGCTGATCGGAGACTCGGGCGTGGGGAAGACCTGTGTGCTGTTCCGCTTCTCTGACGACGCCTTCAACACCACCTTCATCTCCACCATAGGTAAAAGCATCAACACCACCTTAATCTCCACCATAGGTAAAAGCATCAACACCACCTTAATCTCCACCATAGGTAAAAGCATCAACACCACCTTCATCTCCACCATAGGTAAAAGCACCAACACCACCTTCATCTCCACCATAGGTAAAAGCACCAACACCACCTTAATCTCCACCATAGGTAAAAGCATCAACACCACCTTAATCTCCACCATAGGTAAAAGCATCAACACCACCTTCATCTCCACCATAGGTAAAAGCATCAACACCACCTTCATCTCCACCATAGGTAAAAGCACCAACACCACCTTAATCTCCACCATAGGTAAAAGCATCAACACCACCTTAATCTCCACCATAGGTAAAAGCATCAACACCACCTTCATCTCCACCATAGGTAAAAGCACCAACACCACCTTCATCTCCACCATAGGTAAAAGCACCAACACCACCTTAATCTCCACCATAGGTAAAAGCATCAACACCACCTTCATCTCCACCATAGGTAAAAGCATCAACACCACCTTCATCTCCACCATAGGTAAAAGCATCAACACCACCTTAATCTCCACCATAGGTAAAAGCATCAACACCACCTTAATCTCCACCATAGGTAAAAGCATCAACACCACCTTCATCTCCACCATAGGTAAAAGCATCAACACCACCTTCATCTCCACCATAGGTAAAAGCATCAACACCACCTTCATCTCCACCATAGGTAAAAGCACCAACACCACCTTAATCTCCACCATAGGTAAAAGCATCAACACCACCTTAATCTCCACCATAGGTAAAAGCACCAACACCACCTTAATCTCCACCATAGGTAAAAGCATCAACACCACCTTAATCTCCACCATAGGTAAAAGCATCAACACCACCTTAATCTCCACCATAGGTAAAAGCATCAACACCACCTTAATCTCCACCATAGGTAAAAGCATCAACACCACCTTCATCTCCACCATAGGTAAAAGCATCAACACCACCTTAATCTCCACCATAGGTAAAAGCATCAACACCACCTTCATCTCCACCATAGGTAAAAGCATCAACACCACCTTCATCTCCACCATAGGTAAAAGCATCAACACCACCTTAATCTCCACCATAGGTAAAAGCACCAACACCACCTTAATCTCCACCATAGGTAAAAGCAGCAACACCACCTTAATCTCCACCATAGGTAAAAGCATCAACACCACCTTCATCTCCACCATAGGTAAAAGCATCAACACCACCTTCATCTCCACCATAGGTAAAAGCACCAACACCACCTTAATCTCCACCATAGGTAAAAGCATCAACACCACCTTCATCTCCACCATAGGTAAAAGCATCAACACCACCTTCATCTCCACCATAGGTAAAAGCATCAACACCACCTTAATCTCCACCATAGGTAAAAGCACCAACACCACCTTAATCTCCACCATAGGTAAAAGCATCAACACCACCTTCATCTCCACCATAGGTAAAAGCATCAACACCACCTTCATCTCCACCATAGGTAAAAGCATCAACACCACCTTCATCTCCACCATAGGTAAAAGCACCAACACCACCTTAATCTCCACCATAGGTAAAAGCACCAACACCACCTTAATCTCCACCATAGGTAAAAGCACCAACACCACCTTAATCTCCACCATAGGTAAAAGCATCAACACCACCTTAATCTCCACCATAGGTAAAAGCATCAACACCACCTTAATCTCCACCATAGGTAAAAGCATCAACACCACCTTAATCTCCACCATAGGTAAAAGCATCAACACCACCTTCATCTCCACCATAGGTAAAAGCATCAACACCACCTTAATCTCCACCATAGGTAAAAGCATATACACCACCTTCATCTCCACCATAGGTAAAAGCATCAACACCACCTTCATCTCCACCATAGGTAAAAGCATCAACACCACCTTCATCTCCACCATAGGTAAAAGCATCAACACCACCTTAATCTCCACCATAGGTAAAAGCATCAACACCACCTTAATCTCCACCATAGGTAAAAGCATCAACACCACCTTCATCTCCACCATAGGTAAAAGCATCAACACCACCTTAATCTCCACCATAGGTAAAAGCATCAACACCACCTTAATCTCCACCATAGGTAAAAGCATCAACACCACCTTCATCTCCACCATAGGTAAAAGCATCAACACCACCTTCATCTCCACCATAGGTAAAAGCATCAACACCACCTTAATCTCCACCATAGGTAAAAGCATCAACACCACCTTCATCTCCACCATAGGTAAAAGCATCAACACCACCTTCATCTCCACCATAGGTAAAAGCATCAACACCACCTTCATCTCCACCATAGGTAAAAGCATCAACACCACCTTCATCTCCACCATAGGTAAAAGCATCAACACCACCTTAATCTCCACCATAGGTAAAAGCATCAACACCACCTTCATCTCCACCATAGGTAAAAGCATCAACACCACCTTATCTCCACCATAGGTAAAAGCATCAACACCACCTTCATCTCCACCATAGGTAAAAGCATACAACACCACCTTCATCTCCACCATAGGTAAAAGCATCAACACCACCTTAATCTCCACCATAGGTAAAAGCATCAACACCACCTTAATCTCCACCATAGGTAAAAGCATCAACACCACCTTAATCTCCACCATAGGTAAAAGCATCAACACCACCTTCATCTCCACCATAGGTAAAAGCATCAACACCACCTTAATCTCCACCATAGGTAAAAGCATCAACACCACCTTCATCTCCACCATAGGTAAAAGCATCAACACCACCTTCATCTCCACCATAGGTAAAAGCATCAACACCACCTTAATCTCCACCATAGGTAAAAGCATCAACACCACCTTAATCTCCACCATAGGTAAAAGCATCAACACCACCTTAATCTCCACCATAGGTAAAAGCATCAACACCACCTTCATCTCCACCATAGGTAAAAGCATCAACACCACCTTCATCTCCACCATAGGTAAAAGCATCAACACCACCTCCACATAGTAAAGCCACCATTCACCTAGGTAAAAGCATCAACACCACCTTCATCTCCACCATAGGTAAAAGCATCAACACCACCTTCATCTCCACCATAGGTAAAAGCATCAACACCACCTTAATCTCCACCATAGGTAAAAGCATCAACACCACCTTCATCTCCACCATAGGTAAAAGCATCAACACCACCTTCATCTCCACCATAGGTAAAAGCATCAACACCACCTTCATCTCCACCATAGGTAAAAGCATCACACACCACCTTCATCTCCACCATAGGTAAAAGCATCAACACCACCTTAATCTCCACCATAGGTAAAAGCATCAACACCACCTTAATCTCCACCATAGGTAAAAGCATCAACACCACCTTATCTCCACCATAGGTAAAAGCATCAACACCACCTTCATCTCCACCATAGGTAAAAGCATCAACACACCACCTTCATCTCCACCATAGGTAAAAGCATCAACACCACCTTCATCTCCACCATAGGTAAAAGCATCAACACCACCTTCATCTCCACCATAGGTAAAAGCATCAACACCACCTTAATCTCCACCATAGGTAAAAGCATCAACACCACCTTCATCTCCACCATAGGTAAAAGCATCAACACCACCTTAATCTCCACCATAGGTAAAAGCATCAACACCACCTTAATCTCCACCATAGGTAAAAGCATCAACACCACCTTCATCTCCACCATAGGTAAAAGCATCAACACCACCTTAATCTCCACCATAGGTAAAAGCATCAACACCACCTTCATCTCCACCATAGGTAAAAGCATCAACACCACCTTCATCTCCACCATAGGTAAAAGCATCAACACCACCTTCATCTCCACCATAGGTAAAAGCATCAACACCACCTTCATCTCCACCATAGGTAAAAGCATCAACACCACCTTAATCTCCACCATAGGTAAAAGCATCAACACCACCTTCATCTCCACCATAGGTAAAAGCATCAACACCACCTTCATCTCCACCATAGGTAAAAGCATCAACACCACCTTCATCTCCACCATAGGTAAAAGCATCAACACCACCTTAATCTCCACCATAGGTAAAAGCATCAACACCACCTTCATCTCCACCATAGGTAAAAGCATCAACACCACCTTCATCTCCACCATAGGTAAAAGCATCAACACCACCTTAATCTCCACCATAGGTAAAAGCATCAACACCACCTTAATCTCCACCATAGGTAAAAGCATCAACACCACCTTAATCTCCACCATAGGTAAAAGCATCAAACACCACCTTAATCTCCACCATAGGTAAAAGCATCAACACCACCTTAATCTCCACCATAGGTAAAAGCATCAACACCACCTTCATCTCCACCATAGGTAAAAGCATCAACACCACCTTCATCTCCACCATAGGTAAAAGCATCAACACCACCTTAATCTCCACCATAGGTAAAAGCATCAACACCACCTTCATCTCCACCATAGGTAAAAGCATCAACACCACCTTATCTCCACCATAGGTAAAAGCATCAACACCACCTTAATCTCCACCATAGGTAAAAGCATCAACACACCTTAACTCCACCATTAAAAGCATCAACCACCTTCATCTCCACCATAGGTAAAAGCATCAACACCACCTTAATCTCCACCATAGGTAAAAGCATCAACACCACCTTCATCTCCACCATAGGTAAAAGCATCAACACCACCTTCATCTCCACCATAGGTAAAAGCATCAACACCACCTTCATCTCCACCATAGGTAAAAGCATCAACACCACCTTAATCTCCACCATAGGTAAAAGCATCAACACCACCTTAATCTCCACCATAGGTAAAAGCATCAACACCACCTTAATCTCCACCATAGGTAAAAGCATCAACACCACCTTCATCTCCACCATAGGTAAAAGCATCAACACCACCTTAATCTCCACCATAGGTAAAAGCATCAACACCACCTTAAAGCATCAACACACTTCATCACCATAGGTAAAAGCATCAACACCACCTTCATCTCCACCATAGGTAAAAGCATCAACACCACCTTCATCTCCACCATAGGTAAAAGCATCAACACCACCTTAATCTCCACCATAGGTAAAAGCATCAACACCACCTTAATCTCCACCATAGGTAAAAGCATCAACACCACCTTCATCTCCACCATAGGTAAAAGCATCAACACCACCTTAATCTCCACCATAGGTAAAAGCATCAACACCACCTTAATCTCCACCATAGGTAAAAGCATCAACACCACCTTCATCTCCACCATAGGTAAAAGCATCAACACCACCTTAATCTCCACCATAGGTAAAAGCATCAACACCACCTTAATCTCCACCATAGGTAAAAGCATCAACACCACCTTCATCTCCACCATAGGTAAAAGCATCAACACCACCTTAATCTCCACCATAGGTAAAAGCATCAACACCACCTTCATCTCCACCATAGGTAAAAGCATCAACACCACCTTCATCTCCACCATAGGTAAAAGCATCAACACCACCTTCATCTCCACCATAGGTAAAAGCATCAACACCACCTTCATCTCCACCATAGGTAAAAGCATCAACACCACCTTCATCTCCACCATAGCTAAAAGCACACACACGTCCACAGCTGGTTCTGGTTCCCCCTGAACATGGGTTAGGGTCATTGATCAGCCCTGACAGCCGGAGGACGCTGGAGGGCCCCGGAATGCTGAAGTTGAAACTGCTAACGTTATACGGGCCACTGGGTTATAAGTTATAAAACGTGCAAAACCCAAATCAACACAGTTCATACACACACATATTCGTATTAAACTCACACACAGCTGTAAAGTCACCAACAATGATACAAAATGAGTATATTTCAGTTTCATAAAGGCGATGATATGAAACGCCGTCATGTAAATTGACCTAGCTAACATTTGTGGCTAATGCTAAGTGAGCTAGTAGTTCAGACTGAGAAGAACAGATCCTTTCTTGGTGCCACAGTGGGGAAATGTCAGTGTTGTATCAGTCACAGAGCAGTAGGACTGAGGAGCACACAGATAAATGAACAATAACTCTGTACCAACAGTTTACGCAGAGGCAGCAGTCCCAACATGGATCTTATTTTCTCTTTTCGTTACTATAAACTGTATATTTCACATAAAAAACCTTAAGAATAACGATTCTTATGATGCTGATTTAGTTGGAAAGCTGTATGCCATGGCTGAACTCATTTTCACCAAGTAGTATTCTCACTTTTTACTGGTTTGTAATGGCGTTGTTATTATAATTTATAAATATGTACTTTTTGCAGGGTAGTTACTCAATTCTATTACTCTCAGTGCCATTTGTTCAGAAATATTAGAATATAGTTTGAGTTTATGTGACTGTATATTATCTCAAAGGGAACAGTGACTTTTTACAAACATGCCTAACACAATAACATTCATCATTCCAAGAACTTACGGATTGACCAATATATTTTTGTGTCTTGACAATTCTCGTCTGTAGTAAAATATCTCTAATTTGAGCTGAATAATTTTTGCTCAACTCTGCTTTTTATTGGTTTTTGCTTATGACAAACCAGAGATGGGTCACAGGGATATTCTCCTGCTGTGTTGTCAATGCACCAGAGGCATGTAGTATGTTGTAACCTTAGCTTCCAACTAATAACTGCGACATGAAGGAACTGTGTAGAATGTTCTTCAAAGATTCTGGAAAGCCTCTGTTTGTGGTCAGTGTCCTCATTTCATGCAGATACACGTAGTTGCTGCTCATGTTGCAGCTGATGGCCGCTTTGTTTATGTTAACATTTGATATTTGGGTTCTCAAGCTGATAATCCAATCGAGCAGTAGAATCAGCGTCACTTGATTCTCTCATTTGGGTTTCCAGTTTCTTTCAAATCCACAATGATCTCAACAAACAGCTTCTAACTGTCCATGGGTTTTCCCTCCTTCATTTCCTTTTTGAGTTCTTGAGACGCAGTTCAAGAATGTGTTTGTGGACTGTTCTTAAGTTTGTTGCTTGAACTTGTCAAAGATTTTCTCGGAGCAGCCTAAGAATCCCCTTTTTCTTACGATCGTCTTGTGTGGGTCATGAAACAAACTGATGCATGTCTCTGACGCTGAGTTTGGGCCGTTATGACATCTATAGTACGTTTGGGTCTGGTCCTTTGATAAATTACTGGGATCCTTTACACAAGTTTTATCCCTCCCCAAAAGCCAGAGTGGCCTCTTTCTTACACACTGAGTCAGCATTTAACCCGCCTTGTGAGCTAGTCTTTTTGTTCAGTTCTGGTTCAGTGTGACCAAATATAGCTTTGATTTAACTGCAGTAAACCGCTAAATAATGTGTGTAAAAAAACACAAAGTACAACAATATGACAACGTGACAAGAGTGAAGCCTTTACATCGACCTTTGGACTTTTGCTGCTATTAGAATATTTTTTAGAATTGTTAAATTTTTTGGCCCATTATATTAATATTTTTGAACATATTGTATTTCTGTCGGTCTGTGGTGAAAAGCAACACGGGTCTAAACAACACACCAACCTTTCCCTTTAAACACTGACTCCGTGAATGTGTTTGTCCTGGACACTTAACATTACTCTTCAAACCCCGACTGTAGTAAATTAAGATTACTTACTTCATAACGAGTAGAATCTGAATCTTCTGTTGTGATTTGTGACAGATTTGTAAATTAGCTCAAATCTTGTGTTTATGATTCTCACAAAAACATGTATTTTTTCCTACAGTTCTGAAATGGTTACAATGGTACAGTATTTAGAGCTGTGTTCAAAGCTGTGGTGAGTCCAGATGAGTCATGCAGCGTTGGGACATCTGCGTGTCACAGATATAACCCTTTAATGAATATGGGACAAAGTTAAAGCTCGGTTACCTAACTTTAAAACCACAATCAATCCACCAGTTCCTCACTCTCAAAACAATATCACTAGTTTTTAAATGCATTTATTTGTTCTGTGCATTGGCCTTAGAGCCTGAAGGTCGTGGGTTCGATCCCACCGTAAGACCTACTTCACGACTCCCACTGCTGTCGTTGTGTCCTTGGGCAAGACACTTAACCCCACTTTGCCTGAAGCCCCCACTGAAAGATCTCAGCTCCTGTGGACTCAGCACCTGCAGGAGGATCAGTGAGGGGCTGGTGCTCTGACTGCCACCCCTGACCCAGACATGGATTAAGGGGAAGAAAATGGATGGATGTTCTGTGTCACATCTTCAGAGCAGATTTTTCTTTTTCTCCAACTCAACTTTATTTATATAGCACATTATATAAAACAAGTTTCCAAAAACACCACACAATTCAGAGAAAAAAGGTGGGTCTCGGGTGTAAAGAAGTAAATCCCTCTCTCAGCCCAAAGCATCAGCGAATCATACAGATCTGTTTATAATATTGTACTTCTGTTTGGTTTTTTGACTAATAAATATATAAAATGTTTAATGCCACATACTTCATGACCTGCTCACTGAACTGAACTCAGATTGGACATGAACCAAGAACATTTAGAACAATATTCAGAGTATTATTCCCCTGGACGTGTGGTCAGCGCCTTCCTCTCGCTCAAATACAAATTGCGATATATATATTTTTGAAGAATTCTCGCACTATTTGTTAATGACTTGTGTGAGGTTTGGTGCACGGACCCGAGGAAGTGGTAATGAAAACAAATTGCAACAAAAATCAAATTTTTAGTTGGATTTATTTCACTCTTTCAGAACACATTCACATATCTTCACACTGATGATATGTAAGTAAGTAATCTTTATTTATATAGCGCCTTTCACAGACCAGAGTCACAAAGCGGTTTACAATTGTTATTTTTGGGCACTAGTCTCTCACTCCACACAGAGCGGACCCAGAGCTGTAGGAGACAGAGGAAACAGACCCAGAGCTGTAGGCGACAGAGGAAACGGACCCAGAGCTGTAGGCGACAGAGGAAACGGACCCAGAGCTGTAGGCGACAGAGGAAACGGACCCAGAGCTGTAGGCGACAGAGGAAACTGACCCAGAGCTGTAGGCGACAGAGGAAACAGACCCAGAGCTGTAGGAGACAGAGGAAACAGACCCAGAGCTGTAGGCGACAGAGGAAACGGACCTAGAGCTGTAAGGCGACAGAGGAAACGGACCCAGAGCTGTAGGCGACAGAGGAAACGGACCCAGAGCAGTAGGCGACAGAGGAAACAGACCCAGAGCTGTAGGAGACAGAGGAAACAGACCCAGAGCTGTAGGAGACAGAGGAAACAGACCCAGAGCTGTAGGCGACAGAGGAAACGGACCCAGAGCTGTAGGCGACAGAGGAAACGGACCCAGAGCTGTAGGCGACAGAGGAAACGGACCCAGAGCTGTAGGCGACAGAGGAAACGGACCCAGAGCTGTAGGCGACAGAGGAAACGGACCCAGAGCTGTAGGCGACAGAGGAAACGGACCCAGAGCTGTAGGCGACAGAGGAAACGGACCCAGAGCTGTAGGCGACAGAGGAAACGGACCCAGAGCTGTAGGCGACAGAGGAAACGGACCCAGAGCTGTAGGCGACAGAGGAAACGGACCCAGAGCTGTAGGCGACAGAGGAAACGGACCCAGAGCTGTAGGCGACAGAGGAAACGGACCCAGAGCTGTAGGCGACAGAGGAAACGGACCCAGAGCTGTAGGCGACAGAGGAAACGGACCCAGAGCTGTAGGCGACAGAGGAAACGGACCCAGAGCTGTAGGCGACAGAGGAAACGGACCCAGAGCTGTAGGCGACAGAGGAAACGGACCCAGAGCTGTAGGCGACAGAGGAAACGGACCCAGAGCTGTAGGCGACAGAGGAAACGGACCCAGAGCTGTAGGCGACAGAGGAAACGGACCCAGAGCTGTAGGCGACAGAGGAAACGGACCCAGAGCTGTAGGCGACAGAGGAAACGGACCCAGAGCTGTAGGCGACAGAGGAAACGGACCCAGAGCTGTAGGCGACAGAGGAAACGGACCCAGAGCTGTAGGCGACAGAGGAAACGGACCCAGAGCTGTAGGCGACAGAGGAAACGGACCCAGAGCTGTAGGCGACAGAGGAAACGGACCCAGAGCTGTAGGCGACAGAGGAAACGGACCCAGAGCTGTAGGCGACAGAGGAAACGGACCCAGAGCTGTAGGCGACAGAGGAAACGGACCCAGAGCTGTAGGCGACAGAGGAAACGGACCCAGAGCTGTAGGCGACAGAGGAAACGGACCCAGAGCTGTAGGCGACAGAGGAAACGGACCCAGAGCTGTAGGCGACAGAGGAAACGGACCCAGAGCTGTAGGCGACAGAGGAAACGGACCCAGAGCTGTAGGCGACAGAGGAAACGGACCCAGAGCTGTAGGCGACAGAGGAAACGGACCCAGAGCTGTAGGCGACAGAGGAAACGGACCCAGAGCTGTAGGCGACAGAGGAAACGGACCCAGAGCTGTAGGCGACAGAGGAAACGGACCCAGAGCTGTAGGCGACAGAGGAAACGGACCCAGAGCTGTAGGCGACAGAGGAAACGGACCCAGAGCTGTAGGCGACAGAGGAAACGGACCCAGAGCTGTAGGCGACAGAGGAAACGGACCCAGAGCTGTAGGCGACAGAGGAAACGGACCCAGAGCTGTAGGCGACAGAGGAAACGGACCCAGAGCTGTAGGCGACAGAGGAAACGGACCCAGAGCTGTAGGCGACAGAGGAAACGGACCCAGAGCTGTAGGCGACAGAGGAAACGGACCCAGAGCTGTAGGCGACAGAGGAAACGGACCCAGAGCTGTAGGCGACAGAGGAAACGGACCCAGAGCTGTAGGCGACAGAGGAAACGGACCCAGAGCTGTAGGCGACAGAGGAAACGGACCCAGAGCTGTAGGCGACAGAGGAAACGGACCCAGAGCTGTAGGCGACAGAGGAAACGGACCCAGAGCTGTAGGCGACAGAGGAAACGGACCCAGAGCTGTAGGCGACAGAGGAAACGGACCCAGAGCTGTAGGCGACAGAGGAAACGGACCCAGAGCTGTAGGCGACAGAGGAAACGGACCCAGAGCTGTAGGCGACAGAGGAAACGGACCCAGAGCTGTAGGCGACAGAGGAAACGGACCCAGAGCTGTAGGCGACAGAGGAAACGGACCCAGAGCTGTAGGCGACAGAGGAAACGGACCCAGAGCTGTAGGCGACAGAGGAAACGGACCCAGAGCTGTAGGCGACAGAGGAAACGGACCCAGAGCTGTAGGCGACAGAGGAAACGGACCCAGAGCTGTAGGCGACAGAGGAAACGGACCCAGAGCTGTAGGCGACAGAGGAAACGGACCCAGAGCTGTAGGCGACAGAGGAAACAGACCCAGAGCTGTAGGCGACAGAGGAAACAGATAAATGGTTGATGATGGTTTTGAAACAGGAGAGAGTGACTTCAGACGGAGACTCGCAGCTGACTCTGAAAATACCTCCTGGAAAACCCCTTCCTCACAGTCTTCACCTCCACACGATCAGAACAGACCAGGGTTTGTGTTCCTCTGATTTGAAACGACTGAATATGAACCTTTATTCCACTCATGCCAGGCAGATGTGCGCTTTAACTATTTAGATTTTAGTTTATCAGAGTGAGACGTCATAAAGAAGAGAAGTGGACATCAATACTTACTCTAGAATGATACTGTTGTGCTGAAGCAGAGGGAACCATTTAGAGATATATTATTTAAATTGTTACATCATTCTTTTTGGGCTCATTGTTTTGGAGTGATGTGGTTGTTTCCTGAGGACGTTGGCCTCAGAATCCGGTGTAACATGCCACACTGGGACATTGTTGCCATGGGGATGTGTTTTAAACCTTAAACTAAATCATGTTTCATTTTTAGTCTCTCACAAAAACAAATCTTCATGATGCCGTTCTGCTCTAACTTTTTGAGATTCGCTTTAGTATTTTTTACCTGAACTTTAATGTAAACGACATAAGAATTTAATTTAATTTGTTTTTAAGTTTTACTCAAGTTTCCACCAGCTGCACTTGGATTCGACTACCCTACTCTACCCTACTCTACCCTACTATACCCTACCATACCTCTACTCTACTCTACCCTACTCTACTCTACTCTACCCTACTCTACTCTACCTCTACTCTACTCTACCCTACTCTACACTACCCTACCTACTCTACTCTACTCTACTCTACACCAACCCTACTCTACACTACTCTACTCTACACCAATCCTACTCTACTCTACTCTACACCACCTCTACTCTACCCTACTCTACACCAACCCTACTCTACTCTACTCTACTCTACACCAACCCTACTCTACTCTACTCTACACCAACCCTACTCTACTCTACCTCTACTCTACTCTACTCTACACTACCCTTCTCTACACTACCCTACTCTACACTACCCCAGTATCAGTAGTTATGACCTTTTGTATGAATCTGGAATGCAGATTGTACATTATTTCTTGACCTTCCAACAAAAGCCCGGTCTGTGAAAGCAGGACCCGGTGCATCCTGGAGTCTGTAGACCAGCTCCACATGTTGCAGGGTTTTGTCTTCGTTTTCTCCATTCCTATGATCTCATCTCCATGTGGCTGAACGGTCCCCTGGTGGCCCCGCCCTCTCTCTGGGGCCGTGGGGCGTTCACAGTCACTCACTTCTGGACTCACAGCTGTTTCTTGTGCGTCTTCTTGACCCGTGCGGCCCATGGGAGGCTGTTTAGCTCTGATTACAACATACATGTATATTATTACTACAATCGGTTACAACGTGAAATATTGCATTCGTTCTTATTTCTGGACCTGGCTCTGTCCAAAGTCAGACTGTGGAAAAGGCAGTCCACACATTCTTAACCTTGGTGTTTTGTGTTTTCTTTCAGGAATAGACTTCAAGATCAAAACGGTCGAATTACAAGGAAAAAAGATCAAACTACAGATTTGGTAAAAACTTTTTGAATTTCTAACATATGAAAGAATAAATCCTAAAAGATCATGTGGCACCTTTCCTACAAGTTATGTTCCTCAGCAAAACATTGGTTGGTTTCTACAATTAAAAAGGTTGACCAATTAGTTTCACTAATTTCACCAATAATCAGTCATTGGAAGTTGCTGCCTCCACTCGGCCTCAATCAAGCCTCAAGTCTCCAAGATGTCTGCCCTTTGTAATCACTGCCCTGTGCCCACCATGGACGTGTTCTGGCCAGCTCTGGTTCTCTCTCTCTCTGGTCTCCCCAGCTCTGGTTCTCTCTCTCTCTCTCTCTGGTCTCCCCAGCTCTGGTTCTCTCTCTCTCTCTGGTCTCCCCAGCTCTGGTTCTCTCTGTCTCTCTCTGGTCTCCCCAGCTCTGGTTCTCTCTCTGGTCTCCCCAGCTCTGGTTCTCTCTCTCTCTCTGGTCTCCCCAGCTCTGTAAGTAAGTAAGTAAGCTTTATTTATATACCGCCTTTCACAGACCAGAGTCACAAAGCGGTTTACAATTGTTATTTTTGGGCACTTGTCCTCTCACTCCACACAGAGATGGGAGCGGGGTCGCCGAACAGGAGGCGCATGCCAGACCTATTGTACATATTTTTAGTGGTAGGGGAAACCGGAGTACCCGGAGGAAACCTACGCAGACACGGGGAGAACATGCAAACTCCACTCAGAAAGGCCCTGGTCCGGCCGGGATTCGAACCCAGGACCTTCTTGCTGAGAGGCAAGAGTGCTATCCACTCAGCCACCGTGCCGCTCTGGTTCTCTCTCTGGTCTCCCCAGCTCTGGTTCTCTCTCTGGTCTCCCCAGCTCTGGTTCTCTCTCTCTGGTCTCCCCAGCTCTGGTTCTCTCTCTCTGGTCTCCCCAGCTCTGGTTCTCTCTCTCTGGTCTCCCCAGCTCTGGTTCTCTCTCTGGTCTCCCCAGCTCTGGTTCTCTCTCTCTCTCTGGTCTCCCCAGCTCTGGTTCTCTCTCTCTCTCTGGTCTCCCCAGCTCTGGTTCTCTCTCTCTCTCTGGTCTCCCCAGCTCTGGTTCTCTCTCTCTGGTCTCCCCAGCTCTGGTTCTCTCTCTCTGGTCTCCCCAGCTCTGGTTCTCTCTCGCTCTCTCTCTGGTCTCGCTCTCTCTCTCTGGTCTCGCTCACTCTCTGGTCTCGCTCTCTCTCTCTGGTCTCTCTCGATTGAGGTTATGGTAAAATCTCCTTCCAGCCTGTGTGAATTTAAGCTGCAGTACCGTAGGTGGCCCCTGGGTGATCCATGGGGATAAGTAATGATAATACACACTTGGCCTTAACACATTGTCAAACTTATAGACACGGTTTTCCTCCATTTGAAAGCTCTTCGTCTGCTCTTCTTCTTCAGGCTCTTCATGCACCGCCTGAAGAGCCCCATTTTAATTATTTAGTTTTTAATAATGGCGGCTACAGAGTTACATTGTTTTGGAGCGTGACATAAGCACTTCAGATTCTAGAACAAAACAACACTCAATAATGAAACGCCTTAAGTCTCTTTATCACATGACGTGGACCTAACTCACCGACTACTTTAACTTCTGCCGAAACCTGACACCAGAGAATCCACCGAGAAGAGCATTGTCGTTTAATCACAGCTGGATACAAAATGGATCCAAGTGGGAGTTTTTACACCTATTTCACCCAAACTTTATAAATAATTACATCCTGGATTTTGACTTGACCAACATCATAAAGCCCGAACCAGATCACCACAATTTCCTGAAGCGGCACGGAGGTCCTGGGTTCGAGTCCCAGTCAGAACAGAGTTTGCATGTGCACAATAAGTAAATGCTCCAGCTTCCATGTGGAGTGTGAAAGCCATGTTTCATTATGGACTGGTTTAGATCCAACCTGTAGCTCGCCAGCCCCTTAAAGGAAGCTCTCCAAAGGATTTAGAGTTTAACAAATACACTTAAACGAACACTTTTTGAGCCATTACATATCTATTATAAATTATAAAGTATAAATATAGGGTTATACAGTATTATGGTGTATTTGAAGTATTCTCAGAGTTTGGTCGTAAATATAAGAACGATTATTATTACAACTACAAAAAAGAGCTCTCTGCCTGTTTGTATAAAAGTAGCTCTCTGATGAAGGTTGGAGATCTCTGGTTCAGTAAGTTATGTTTATTTATATAGCGCCTTTCTCAGACCAGAGTCAAAGCAGTTTTCAATTGTTACATTAGTCTGTCACTCACACAGAGATGGGAGGGGCCAGCACAGGAGGCACAGACCTATTCTACATGTTTTTAGTGGTAGGGGAAACCTACGCAGACACAGGGAGAACATGCAAACTCCACTCAGAAAGGCCCTGTTCTGACCGGGATTTGAACCCAGCACCTTCTTGCTGAGAAGCGAGAGTGTTAACCACTCAGTTAGATTAACCGCTGAACTTTTGCTGTATTGCGTTGGATCTAAGTTGGCGCAGGTCTGGTTAAGTCCAGTCTGGTTAAGTCCAGTCTGGTTAAGTCCAGTCTGGTTAAGTCCAGTCTGGTTAAGTCCAGTCTGGTTAAGTCCAGTCTGGTTAAGTCCAGTCTGGTTAAGTCCAGTCTGGTTAAGTCCAGTCTGGTTAAAGCTGCACTAACTGACTTTGGGATTTTGAAGCCGCAGACTCTCTGGCCTCTCTCTTTCTGCTCCCCTCCCCGCACCCACGAAGCTATCGCCCCCACACACACACTCACTGTTGGGACGGAGCTAGTGTCTCCCAATATGGATAATACACGAATATGGATTTGTACGTGGATGGTGTGACCATAGAACGATAGAACCAGGAAGAGCAGAGGAACGAGACTTTCTTTTGGATGGCTGTCTCGCTGTGTAAGCAGTAACCGGTGACGAAGACACGGAAGCTTCAGGTTAGCTCCGCCGCTTGTTGTGCTAACTCAGCCGTCTATGCTAACGGACCTGTAGATTTCTCACGAAAGTGGGGGCTAGTGGTGCGCTGCGATAGGTCACAATCCGCGACCCGAAACCATTCTCTTCCTTCCATCCATCCATCCATTTTCTACCCTTTAATCCATTTCTGGGTCAGGGGGGTGGCAGTCAGAGATGCCAAGTCTCATAGCACCAGCCCCTCACTGACCCTCTGCAGGTGGTGAGTCCACAGGAGGACGGCTGCTCTCTGACTGTGAGCATAGCCTTGATCTTTCAGTGGGAGCTACTTTTTCTTCAAAATGATGTATATCCCAATGCACTGCATGGACATGGATAGCATTTTCGTAATGAATACAAAAATAAAGTCAGTTAGTGCAGCTTTAAGTCCAGTCTGGTTAAGTCCAGTCTGGTTAAGTCCAGTCTGGTTAAGTCCAGTCTGGTTAAGTCCAGTCTGGTTAAGTCCAGTCTGGTTAAGTCCAGTCTGGTTAAGTCCAGTGTGGTTAAGTCCAGTGTGGTTAAGTCCAGTGTGGTTAAGTCCAGTGTGGTTAAGTCCAGTGTGGTTAAGTCCAGTGTGGTTAAGTCCAGTGTGGTTAAGTCCAGTGTGGTTAAGTCCAGTGTGGTTAAGTCCAGTCTGGTTAAGTCCAGTCTGGTTAAGTCCAGTCTGGTTAAGTCCAGTCTGGTTAAGTCCAGTCTGGTTAAGTCCAGTCTGGTTAAGTCCAGTCTGGTTAAGTCCAGTCTGGTTAAGTCCAGTCTGGTTAAGTCCAGTCTGGTTAAGTCCAGTCTGGTTAAGTCCAGTCTGGTTAAGTCCAGTCTGGTTAAGTCCAGTCTGGTTAAGTCCAGTCTGGTTAAGTCCAGTCTGGTTAAGTCCAGTCTGGTTAAGTCCAGTCTGGTTAAGTCCAGTCTGGTTAAGTCCAGTCTGGTTAAGTCCAGTCTGGTTAAGTCAAGTTCCCCCCAGCACCGGCTGTTCTGGATAAAGAACAGATGTGTGAGAAACTGGTTTGTTTTGTGGATCAGTTCTGAGTCCACCTTCTCATGAGTGTGTGTACAGTAGGTCCCATTCCGTTTTGTCGCCTTTCACGCGTGAATCACACGAGAATCACGTGTGATTCACGCGTCTTTTATTTTCCCCCCTCCCAGTGACGTTGCAATGACCAAAACAACCACCAGGTGGCACTTGTGAGCAGGGTTACATTGGCGAGCTTCTGCCCCGCGCACATCGACAATCTGGTTTAAACGGGCAACTCCTTGTAGCAGGCCAGTCTCTGGAAAACCCGCAGACATTAAAACTACTGCATATAACGTAAACTTTTGCATCACGTTGGTGATCTTTCCAAAAAGAGAGAATATCGTTATGGAAAGAGAAACTATTGGCTCCGCTGGTGTCTCCTCCCACTCAGAAAAAAAGCAGACGCCTTTTCTCTGGCATCTCTAACATTTATAATAAATACATAAATATAACAATCATAATGAAGATGCTTTCAAATAATTTAGCAAGCTGTAATTCATTTATTTCAACTGCCAAACTTCTCTCACTGCTCCTCTCCTCTCCTCCGCAAATCACTAAATGAGGAAAAGGGAATATTCACTCAATCTATTTTGAATGTTACACATACAATATTAATATAGTCTAAGCACGTGTACCACATGTAGCCCGTGTATTTACCACAGACTGTAAGTATTAAAGTAATGAGGCCCCTGCTTTAGGCCTCTGCTGTGAGGCCCACACCGTCATCAGTCTCGGTGCCTCTGTGTAGATCACACGTCTGTCCTCGGGCTGGAGTGTTCTGAGGCTTTAAGCGGGGAGTCAGGAAGGAGCGATCCTGTTTGTCAGCATGATTTTTTTGTTTAACAGCCTCCCTGC